GCTGTGAGGTAATCTTAAAGCTGTACCCATTAGAACACGTGAAAGCCTGTCGTCTGTTGTTCGTTCAGTGGTCGTGGAACGAATGCTTTTAGGATGGGTCGTCACTCACCGCGAAATCTTGCGCATGCGCGTATATCGAATTTATAGCAGGGATTTTCTCCTGATCTGTGGACTATAGTTTATATATATATATATATCGGTCTTTCGGTCGGCTAATTTTATTCACATATACTGTGCACGATGCTATGCTGTTTTATTTCTTAACAAAGTCACGGGTGTCTTGAAAACTCTCCAGCAACTGAGAAACGTGGCTATTAATTACTTCCGTTTGTTTACAACATACACCTTCGTGGTGCTTTTTAATGATACGATTCGAAGGGAATAATTATCATAGGAAGGAAGGTGGGGGAGAAATTCTGAGCTTCCAGCGCTAAACGATTAGGTTGAACGTCGGGTTGCTAAGCATTTCTTGACAGTTGTCAAAGACTTTTTCCAACCGAGGTTAAATTCCGCTGATAAATAACAGACCGAAACACGTCTCTTTGTTTATCTTATTCACGTGTACGGAAAAAGTCTGTACCGGGTGGGATTTCAGATTTTCACGCCGGTGAAAGCGAAGATGGCTGTCGTCTGGGATGTTGCGTCGCGTAGTCTGGTAGAAGCTTGCCGACGTTTCAGAAGTATTTGTGGCGACCACTTGTACCCACAAGACTGCCATCTTCAGGTATGTATGAAATCAGTGGTGAGGAGGGAAAGAATAAAACAACTTTGTGTCTCCATGTACTGGTTTATCTCCTTATAGTCACAGTGTCTGCTCATTCATAGCCTATTTGATGAAACTTCTTATGAACATCCGGCAGAGAAGAAGTTTATCTGCGGACCAGTTTTAAAGTTTTCTCACGTTGCTGCCTGGAACGACCTCCGGACAGAGACTCGTAAGTTATTAATAGATCTCACACAAATCACATTCGATTCTTATCTTTCACTTCCGATTTATCATGCAGTTGCATATCCAACGCTTTCTTGCTGCAAGACACGTGCAGACGTTAACAGTGAAAACAATTAAAAACGCTAATTGAAGAAGAAGAAACGACTTTCCCTTTAAATCCACTTAAATTCCAACAAGCATACTTTCTTTATTGGCTTATTAAACGATGTCATGCCAACTACAAACAATGAGACAGTAAAACATTTATTATTACTTATCGATTTGTGGTTTATTTTACGACGTTATCAGCAGCTCAGGAGCGTCGAATGACGCAATGAGTAACGAATAATGAAAACGAAAGGATGTGTAAAAAAAACTGGTCGTGGCCTAATTTAAGGTAACAATATCCCGATGTTTTTCTAGAAGAACTTAAGAAAATTAAGTACATATCAAGACGAACTATACACTTAGCTCTTACTGCTCAGATTTTAACATAACTTGGCTGGCTCGTATTTAGAATGTAAGCTCGTCTAAGAATTTATATGGTGAATAGAACATTAGAAATATCTCGTTCCGGCCGCTTTAACCCCACTGAAAATGCCAACGGCACTGGTTGGATAGGCCCCAGAAACGGTCTGGATGCGGAAATAGAGAAAAAGTCTTCTAATCCTGCCGGTAATCGATCCCCAGCTATCCAGCCTGTTGCCTAGTCATTATACTGACTAGAAGGACAAACGTAATACGGGATTGTCCTTCCCCGTTCTAGGCCACGCTATCCTAACACTAGCAGGACCTCCTGTATTGTAAGAATAATAATAATCCATTCCTTGTATACAGACAATGGAGTTTACGAGAAGTTTTTCTTTTTATATATGACAGCAAGGCCACCGGTTCAGACACTTGAGTTAATTTCGTAACAATGACAGAGAACCTGCTCGGAAATGACCTTGTTACCTTTCCTATTGTTCGATCTGCTGACTTACAGGTGTGATGATCCCTGTACAACGAAAGCTTTTTACGTGTTCATAAAATAATAACGGGAATATTACACACACAATTGAAAGTGTGTACGTGTACGCTCGCGAGCGCACGAACGAATACACTAAACTTGGCCTGCCAATTCCTCGAGGTCAGAAAGTTATTTTGGAAAGGCAAAGCTCAGAAAACGTTTCTTTGCTTTCGAGTGCAGGACGAAATGGTCAATTCTGTACCTGGGCAAACGAGATTCTTACAAGGTTAGGTTAGGTTAGGTTAAGTTAGGTTGGGTTAGGTTAAGTTAGGTTGTGTTAGGTTAGGTTAGGTTAGGTTAGTTTTGAAACAGGAGATTACAGGGCAAAGGCCACAACCCCGAAAAATCTGTGTTAGGTTCGATTCCCGGTAAACGTAATTTTTTGTAGCTCGGCAAACTTCGCATGATGGAAGAAGGAAACAAATACATTTGCTTCGGTGAGGACATCGCAGGAGCAAAGGTTACAGACACGAAAAGTGCCCTGAGTTGTAGTATAGGTGTAGATGATGGGTTTACGAGTAACATTTTCCCGTAATATTCAGCGATAAATATCTCATGATCAGGCCCATGATAAACGTTCGGGCAATAAAAACTGATATAAAATGTAACGATTTGTGTGTGTGCGGTGGAATAAGTCCAATTTAACAACATGTCTTTGGCGTCTCGTAAAGACTTCAGTCAGTACGGATTACGTTTGACTTAATCCATTCTTGCAAATCTCAAAATATTTAGAAATTCGGTTCGTATCTCCATGGAAACACACAGCGCATCTGTCGGTTAATAATATTTGTAAACAGAAATGCTGTTTAATTTGAGAATCAAACTCAGTATAAGAAACACCTGTACGTAAATTGCCGAATTATTAAAGTGGAAGCAGCTGGTAAATATCGTGCTGTAAACAGTTAAAGGCACTTCAGTGCTGTGACGTCATCGTTTGAACATTGCTGGCTGCCAGTGCAATGCCACGCCGGTCTCTATTAACCCATTTCACTACAAGCCAAGCCTGCGTCAAGTCTGTTTGTTCTGATCGATTTATTTCCTTGTCAAATAGGCATAAAATCAGAGGCTTAACGTATGGATATATTACAAGTCCTGTTGAATTTGAACTGCCCTGAAATTATATTTGTTTTATTCTGTTGACTTGGTGCTTTATTAATTATCAAACACAACTCTGAAGAATAATTCTATATTAAACACGTTATAGACCTGCAAACTTAAATTCTGATGTGTCTAATAACGGCGAAGGCTTAATATTTAATGCATATTAATTCAACATAATTTTTCTTACCAATTTTTTTTTTTTGTAATCGTCATTCCTCAAGAAACCGTTACATTTCAGGGATGGTTCTTTCTCCGGCCTTAGAAGAACCTACATAATTGGGCCCTTTCAAAAGAGCTGATCTCCAACAGGCCCAAAATGCCAAGAAAATTGAAATAGGCAATTCAATACCATTACTAATAACATTTAGAGATGAATAATTCTTCTTACATATCGCTGCAATTGTAATTTGCAGAGCAAGCCATTTGCAATCCTATTGAACGCGCTTGTTAAAACCGTACACTTACACGTCACAAGTGTTATACAATAAATACAACCTCAAACGTTATAACACTTTCTGATAATACATCACAGACACACTAACAAACATGTTTAAAATTACGAAAATTACAAACCCCCAGTGAAACTGGCATAGGTAAGCCTCACTTTATTTCATTTGCTGTTTACAAGTAGGGCTGTAAAAATATTATCTCGCTTTGGGATGACTACAAATAAAATTATGTAATTCTCAAACTTACCGGGATGCAGTTGATTTATCAGTGACGTTTTGACAGTAGCCTTCACAGCACTTCACAGATCCAAAATTGTACTGTAATGTGTGTTTAAATGTTAAAACAGTTTCCACATTTGAACTTCAACACAGAGATCAAAGAATATGTAAATGAAACTGTGTTACGAAAACATTAACTTCTGTTTCAGCAAGCCCTAGACTTTCAACCCAACTTTTCACGTTACTCTGAACTGCAGTCAAATGACAACAGGTTGCTACATATACCACTCCGTTTTGTATAATAAACACAGCGTATTGCCAAAAATGTCATGTACACACCACATGCATTACACAGTAGAAACATTGATTACACAAACAAATACTCTAATAGCTTCTTTCTTCGTGTAAACACTGTTACCCAAATATATAGCCCACATATCTGTGAGAATTCAGAGATAGTGACTACACCGGCTCAAAGTCCCGCGTAATCTGCGGATAAAGAACAGACGAAAGATTCACGGTTCGCTTGTGGACAGAATAAAGTATGACGCAAGAACTTCGTCAGTGCCATCTCTTGGAGCGAGTACTGCATCCTGCAATAAATCCTGACATCTATGAAACTTTTTCGAACTTATGTCCTGTGCAACCTCGAAAATATGGAGCTCACATCGAGATAACAATAACCTTACATTATTACAAAAATTAGGGGCAGACTCAATTTCTGTGGTAAATTCTGGTCTACAAATCAGGTCGTTTCGAAATGCAATATTATTTTTAAATTCCCCCAGCAATTGCATCACAATGCTAAGGAAAAACAATAATAATGAATCCTGTTGTTGCATTGTCAGAACTTTACTTTTTTCGAAACTTTTCAAGGCATGGTAGAATTATTAGCCAGACTGGAGCATTTGCCACTGTTTAGTTTTAGTATTAGCCCTTGAATCATTAGACACATAATGGCCAAAGCAATTTCATAAACAGTGTCTAGTTTGTAAGATTTGAGGTTTTCACAGCGGTGAATATGAAGATTTCTGTCTTTTGGGTTGTTGCGCTGTGTAGTCTGGTCGATGTATCCCGTTTTATGTAACAACCCTGCTTCCTTCATACACTTGGTACATGTATCACACACACAAAATCAAAGCTTTCTTCAACCATTAAAATCAAAGTAGTAATAAGCAAACATCAAATTGAATTCATGTCATAATACTAATTTTACATCAGCTGTGGGTACATGGGCAATTCTATCTTCAGTATAGAGTTCTAATTGCAATAACAGTGTTCCGGAAGAAATACAAAAAGCCTTCATGGGTAATCAGCAGTGTTGATGTTATATCAGCAATTTCAATGACTGTTAGGATATAACAGTCAGAAACAAACTCTTAAATTTTTACTGTATCAATGCAGCCAACCACCCAAAAGGACTTCATTACATTTAATCACCATAAATAAATCAGATTTTTAAAAGAATAATCACTTTAATGCTTTCATTAACATTATGTATACAAATAAATACACATGGATTACTAAAAGAGAAAATATAATTCTATACCTCAAGAACAGTTGATTCCTGAAAAGAGTTTCATTCGGAGCCATTATCTGCAATATGCATGTAATTTTAAAAGTGTAATTCTCCCCTTGTTTCCCTGTAGTCGACATGCGTGGTCAAGCATTACTGTAACCACCGATTGTGTGTTACCAGTACACTTTAATATTTTTTTGCAACTCCTCACTCAGGGACTTATCTAGGGACCCAAAGCTAATGACAGTATGCTAATTCAACATCCAGTAGTTCATAATACAAATCTTGGATTGTCATTTGAAGCATCCTTGCACATTCTGTTAGCAACCACCGAAAAGAAGGTGGGAATTGAATAACAACTTTTCTTTCAAACTCCTCAAAAGCCTGAACTTTTGTACTAACTTCATTTAGCCAATATTCCACGTATGGAAGATACAATACATACTCTTTACTTTCACCCACAGCACTTAATTTAAAATTTCTTTTTTTTGAACATTTCAACAAAACCTTCTTTAAGTGTACAGGCTGATCTACTTTTTTGGATTTATGAAACATATGGCTATCTAATTTACTAGAAACATCATTTTCTTTTGAGTGCCTCTTCAAAATACCTTCATTTTCAGTGGATCTGGAAGAACCTGAGTTTTCATCACTGCTGTCTACCCAACTAACACCTGCACCATAATTGTTGGAGCTCAACGGAACGCCATTATTTTTCAAATGATTTAGTAACATATGTTCTGCAACAAGTGGTAAATGACCAAATGTACGTGACCGTTGAAAAAATCTGTCTGTACAGGAACTCGTATCGGGCAATACACCATGTTTCTTGGAGCTCATTTCACTCCTTGATGTTCTCTTTTTCTTCTCACCATGACTACTACATGGAACTTTCTTTTCTGAATCCACAATTTCATATATTCTGTCCCATCTACTCTCAAACTCTTTTTTCATTTTATGAACTTGTCTCACTTGATTCTGGGCACTTCTCTTCTGAACAATAATTTTTATTCCTTTGTCATGGGCCATTGCAATATATCTGAAAAAAGTACAATTAAATAATCACACAAATTATTTCAAAAATAATGTTGTAAATATTATATAAAATACAAACATACTGAAAATTTTAATACCATTATCTCTTCTGCTTCATGTTCAACAAGTCACGGGTTTTATACTCAAGACTATGCGGTGCACCTCATGACATTCTGTCTGAACCATTTTTCACAACGTTGATATGTAAACATGCGCACTTACTGTTCAGGTTTTATTAAGTGCTGCAATGTTGTTTTAGTGAAATCTTGTTTCAGTATATCAGCAGAAGATGGTATTTCTGGTGCTACACACTTAAAAACTGATGGCTGAGATGCAAAAATGGCCTTCAGATTTGCTTTTTGCGGAGTAAGCGATGGAACAAAGTTCACTGTATGATCATCACCCGTATCCTCTTCCAGTAACTTCAGGAAAACATGCTTCATGGCACTTACAAAGTCAGGATTAATTTCTGGAAATAAAATATACAATGCAACGTGCTACAGATCTGAAGGACAGTACAAGTACCGAAAAGTTGAGCGCAATTTTTAACTGAGTTTAAAGCATGTAAAAGAATGTTTCATGTTTCTGCCTCCCACTGCAAAGATTGCTGCCTCAGTTTATCTATTCCAAACTGTCAGTCAGAGAAGTAAGAAATTCCTGGTAAGGTAGAACTTAAAAGAAAGGGAAGTGGTTCCTTTTAAAAATAAATATTTTTCGCCAATTACTATTAAACGGACACAAAAAAATATCCATGAAGGAATTCTTTCACTCTGTTCAATTGCCAAAATAATCTGAAGATTCACATCATCTCCTTTCCCAACTGAACAAATAAATTAATCTACTTCAATTAAACACAGAGATTTATTATAATGATCACAAAAGCCCACCACTTGACCATATCCTAAGCAAGTTAAAACCAGAACACATCTTTACAACCCATTTCTTCAAGATCTATATTAATATTATTCTCCCTTCTATGCTTATATCTCCCAAGTGATCAATTTATTCCCTTGCAGTTTTCAATCAAAATTTTGTATCATTTCTCATCTCTTCTCAAACACGACAGATGTCTCGACTATTTCGGACATTGATTAATCAACCTATAAAATCAGGTGAATAATACAAATTATGAAGCCCTTCACTCTGTAATTTCTTGCAGCCTCCTACTACCTTCATCTTAGATCCAAATATTCACCTCAGCACTTTGTTCCCAAACATACTCAATCTGAAGATTTCTGTCTTCTGGGTTGTTGCGCTGTGTAGTCTGGTCGATGTTTACCAACGTTTCAGAGGTCATACTGCCTCCATCATCAGGGCGATGAGTATGAAGATTTCTGTCTTCTGGGTTGTTGC